AGGCGGGGACCGTTGGCTTCCTCCGTCACTGAAGCAAGCAAGCTTCATGTTTACTTCAAGATGCCTGGCTGCTGGCCGCCATCTTGGCTGGCAGTTAATTTGCATATCACCCTGATTAGCCGATGGGAAGGGTAGGGGTCGTACACCAATTACCATGTTTCTCTTTTATTAGATAGGATTGTCAACTGAATCCAGGGAGCAGGCAGAGCCACGCCCTGGAGGTGGTCCTAGCTAAGTGCCTCTACTCAAAGAACTGGCTCATTTCTGTTTTGGCGCTGGTTGCGGGAAGAGAGAACGTACCCCCATACCTCTGCTATCCATCAAAGCAGAGCAGGAACAAAGATTAGATCAGTAGAAAGATTAAATCAGTTATTAAAAATTTACAGGGAATAAAGAGGACAGAGGAACATGTTAAATGACACTATAGAGACGCAATGATCAAAATCTAGATTTGGAGACAAATGACCCAGTTTCTTTAATAGATAAGTTGCAAGGAAAAAGCAGAGAAGATGGAAGGGAGACCCACAGAGGAAAAGAAATTTAAGAGACCATTGCAATTATGTAGACATTTTTGGATTCTGATTCAAGTAAGCAGATCATAAAAAGAAAAACAAAACAAAAATATGCATTAGCTCATTTTGACCCCCAGATTTAAAAAACTTTAATCACTTTCTATTGGATTTAAAAAGGAATTCAAGTTTAAAATGGTGGTGGAGCAGGCAGGGATCTTTCTCTCAACGCCCACAGACCAAACTGGAAGCTAATCCTGAATTGGGAAACTACTCACTGGAGACTGTCTGAAGAGGAGACTTTAAAAAATGTTTTTATTGATGTTAGAGAGAGAGGAAGGGAGAGATAAACAATAGATGGGAAACACTGACTGGCTGCCTCCTGCACACCCCGCCCCTGGGGATCAAGCCAGCGACCCTGACTGAGAATCGAACCAGTGTCCTCTTGGTGCATGGGCTGACACTCAACCACTGAGCCACACTGACCAGGCTGAAAAGGAGACTTTTCACTGGGGTCTGCAGAAATCACATGGGGACCAGTAGGAAGGGTGGGGTGATCAAATTGCTGGTCCTGCTCCCAGGGGGCCGCAGGCTGAGGCTGTGGAGGAATGTCTTGGCTGTGGGAGGTCCGTCTGAGAGAGGACCTAGCCCCTGACTGGGCTTCCCAGGCCACAGCACCA